TGGGGGGCCCCCTTTTCCTGTGGGCCCGAGGGGAAAACTCCCGGGGCCCGGGGAAGTTCCGGGGGGAGCCCCAAGTTGGGGGTCCCATTGGGGAGGAACAAATTTTTTTCCGGGGGAACTTTGGAGGAGCGAAACCCTTTGCCCTGGGCCCGGGGACCTTCAAGGAGGGGGGGGGGGCCCCCCCCCCCCCCTTTACCCGGGGGTTTTTTGGGGGGGGGGGCACACGCCCCCCTGGCCCGGGGGTTTTTTGGGGGGGAAGCCCCCCCCCCCCCCCCCCCCCCTCCCTCGATCTCGCGGCGAGAGCACGAGCGCGCCGTCCCCCGGCGACGCGCCGCCACGCTCTTCCTTAGGTCGTCCTCCGAGATATCGGTGCCGGACCGGCGGGGCGGGGGCGGGGTGGCGTCGGAGCAAGTGTCTCGGCCTTCGGTCGACGGAGCGGCGACCCGCGAGTACGCTTCGTGGGCGCCCGACGAGGGTGGTGCTGCTGTCGCTCTGCCGCGTGCGCAGGCGTGCGCAGGCGTGCCGAGGTCTCGCGACGGCACTCAGCCCTTCGCTGGGCGTGTGGGACGCCGGGTACGACGAGCACGGCTTCTGGTCCGTCGAGGCTGCCCGCGCGGCGCGCGACGCGGCGGCGGCGCTTGCGCTGGACGCCGCCGACGGCGGCGCGGGGGCGGCGCGGGGGCGGCAGGCGCGGGGGCGGCAGCCGGCCCAGCGGGTCGCGGCCCTCCCCCGCGGCGTCGTTGGAGGGCGAGCACCTCGAGTACCTACGGCGGCGGGGTGCGCCGTGGGGCGAGCCGCCCGTCGCGGGCGCCGCCGCGCCGCCGGAAGGGGCGAGGCGGCGAGCGAGGATCGTCGACTTTTGGCCGGGGGGCGCTCTCGACACCCGCCGGCTGAGGTCACGTCGTCGGGCGCGTCGACGGGCTGGTTGGCCATGGTCCGCACGGCGGGGCGGCTGCGCCGCCAGGACTCGCGCGTCGCTGCACGCGGCCTGCAGAAGGAATGACAGCTCGGCGGCAAGGCTTTTCTTGCGCCGGGACGGCTAGGCTTTTTGTGAGACGCCGCTCGCGGAAATCGAGGAAGGCTTGGACTTTTCTTTTCTTGGGAAACGGGAGTCTTGGTTTAGAAGAGGCTGGCCAGCGACTGGACACACCGGCATGGGGGGACGCAAGCAAGGACGGGGATTGGAGAGGTTGTAGAGAGATTTAAGAAAAATTTAACTTTTAAGCACACCGCGGTCGAGGCGAACTAAAATTAGAAAGAAATGTACTCCCTCCCTCCCTCTCTCTCTCTCTCTCTCTCTCTCTCTCTCTCTCTCTCTCTCTCTCTCTCTCTCTCTCTCTCTCTCTCTCTCTATAAACCGTCTCACTCAAAATCTCTCTCTTTCTATCTCGGCTCTCTCTCTCTCTCTCTCTCTCTCTCTCTCTCTCTCTCTCTGTCTGTCTCTCTCTCTCTCATGTCTCAAAATCTCTCTCTCAGAAGCGGAGCACACACGAAGATCGAAGTCGGCACAACAAAAATCCCCTTTGCAGCCAAGCCTACAGGGCACCTAATTTTCTGTGTGACATAAAATCGTAAAAGCACTTTCTTTCTTCGCCAGCGGGGGCAAAGAACACAACATAAAGCACAACCACTGGGTTTTTTTTCTTTTCCCACAGCCGCTGGGCCATGCAGGCTGCGCTCCAGCAGGTCGAGATGCACTGCTCTGCAGGCGCGCGTCCCACCGGCTAGGATCTTGCCTCCGCCTGAGCGTACCTGATGTCCGACTTCCGTCCTCGCTCGCCAGAGCTCGAGCGGTATGCAGCGTGCGTGGACGGCCATTCTGGCACCTGGCTCGTGGACTGCGACCCGCTCAAGAGCCAGCTGAACGCTTGCGCCTCGAGCTAGTGCGCCCTCCCCGCGCGGCTGTGGTGGTGAAACCCACACTAACCGCCGGACACCTGCGCGCAGCTCAGGCCTCGTGGAGGCCATCAAGAGCAGGTGCAAGCCGCAGATCGACCAGTACGAGCGCTGCCTGAAGGCGAACCCGGCGAGGCCCGAGACGTGCACGGGCAAGCTCGAGGCGCTCGGAGATTGCACAGAGGGGAGGGAGGCGCAGAGGCTCGTCGCACAGCAGCAGCAACAGCCAAATCGATGAGGCTTGATGGACCTTCGTTCTCGTCGAACCGTCTCCGCACGCTGTGTGGTGTGTTACTGGTACTCAACTCTCACTCCCATCGTTTGAAATGATCCCATCGTTGCGGGCGGGGCCACGCGACTTGCCCTCAGTCTTGCGTTGTCAAGACTGAGATACAAAAGACGACTATCTTAAAGAGACGAACTCGCCGCGCTTCCGCGACATCCACATCGGAGAGAGAGCGAGTGAATTCTAAAGAGCACGGTGTCGAGCCGTGCCGGTGCCTCTCGCGCACAGGCGGCGCTCCCCCGTTGCCGTCTACCCTTCCTCCGCCGGCTTGGCTAGCCTCTCGAGCCCCGCCGAGAGGAAGGTGAGGGCCATGTGCGTCGAGAGGAGAGGCAGGATGAGCGGGTCCCACGCGGTACGAAACGTGTTCATCACCGCCTCGTCGTGCGCGCCAAACTGGAGGCCGACGCCGGTGAGGAACCTGGCGCACGGGGCGGGCGCGAGGCCGTCAGGACGGGCGGGGGTATGCCACGGGAGGGGCGCGGCGCGGCCCACCAGGCAAAGAACAGGATGATGACGAAAAAGTTGAAGGTGAGCACAGTGCCGAGGGTGTTGATGACGCGCGCGAGCGGCGTCGCCTCCTCCTCCTCCTGCAGCTCAGCCGCGGCGCCGCCAGCCAGCCTCCTGTCGGCCAGCCCACGCTCAGCTTTGAATTGCGCGAGGTCGCTCTCGAGGCGGGACAGCTTGGCCCGCTCGCCCGAGTCACTCAGGTCAACAAAACCCGCCGCGTCGTCCCCATACTTTGCGCGCACACGCCGCGCCTTGCTCGTCACGTACGGGTTGGTCTCGGGTGTGACGAAGTTACCGAGCAGGCTAGGCTCGGCCAGTGCTGGCGGCGGCGACAGCGGCGGTGGCGGCAGCGGCGGTGGCGGTGGCGGCGGCGGCGGCGAAGAGACGGCGCTCACCGTGGCAGGGAGCTGCACGGAGAAGCTCTGGCCCGGCGCGACGCCTTCCGGCACAACTACCTGGCACTGGGCTCCGCGTGGAGGCTGAATGAGCAGAAGGTCACCAGCAGCCTTGCCTTCCGGCAGGACGACTGAGACGACAGGCGACGGCGGTACTTGCGATGCCTCGTTCATCCCGACTGCGATTCGGCGGCTCCGTAGCACCGGGTGCGGGGCGAGCAGCGCTCCGAGAGCCAGGATGCTCTGCAGCATGGTGCGATTCTTGGGCGCGCTGCGCACCTCGCGGCGCGCACAGATCGCAAGGGACAAAAGAGAATTGAGTGGTCGTGTGGTCCCTAGGGTGGGCGACGGCTAGCGCACCACACACCTCTCCTTAAAATCCCTGTGTGGTGGCGGCGTGCCGTCCTCCCATCCCTCCCTTGGGCAGTCTCCATTTTCTTTCTTTCTTTGGTGGCGGCGTGCCGTCCTCCCATCCCTCCCTTGGGTTGTCTGTTTTCTTTCTTTCCAAGCACACCACATCCTTGAGAAAAGAATTTTACAGAAAAGAAAACGCGGCTCGAAATTTACTCCACCACACGCTTGGCGATCCGCTTGGCCAACTCCCTCCCTCCCGTGTCGAGCTGTCGACTCCCTGCCCCTTTAGTGCACGCAACGGCGCTGCTGTGGCGCCGAAGCGGGGGAGATGCCAGCGCCGGCGTAAAAGGCGAGCGGCCTCGGGGCAGAGGGGCGGGTCCGGTGCTCGGGCGGCACCAAGGGCGATAAGGAGAAGGCCCGCGGCGAAGGCAGCGGCAGCGAAGGCGGCGGCAGCGAAGGCGGCGGCAGCAGCGGCGGCGAAGCTTGCTCACGTTCGTTATCGCCGTCGCAGCTAGAGTCATCCTGAGGGAGGGTGTAGAGGATGTAGAGTGTAGAGCGCTGTAGAGCTGTAGAGCTGTAGAGCGCTGTAGAGCTGTAGAGCTCTACATCCGCCGCGTGACGAACTGCCTGCGTTGTAGAGCGATGTAGAGGCGCTCTACAACGCGAAATCTCTACAACAAACTCTACATCATAATTAAGCGGCGAACTAGGCACGGTCGCTCTCCGACATGAGGCGCGTTGCACTTGCCAGTGCTGCCCTGGCCTTCTGTCTGCCCGCCCAATGGGTGAGAGGTGCCTCTGCTGCTGTGGCATGCCTCACGGCTGCGACTGGCCGGCGCCTCGGCGCGTCAGCTCGGCTAGGTGTAGCGATAGTGGCCAGCGCAACTCGCCTGGACTCAACGCTCAGCCACGGAGCTCCCGCACGCGCTGGCGCTAGGCATGGCGCATGCAACGCGTCTGAATGCTCGCCTCGCCTCGCGCAAATGCGACCGTCCTCGCAGCCGACAGTCCACCGCCTGCTAAAGGAGCACACTGCGACGAATGCTGCACCGGCGACGCATGGCAGGCTGGTCATGACGCAGTTATAGGGTTTTGTGTGCCGTCAGAGTGACTCTCTGTGTGTCAGGGATAGTCAGGGCTGTCCATCAGAGCTCCAGTAAGCTCAGAGACACCCCATTAGTGCGACTCGACCTCTTTGAGTCACTGCCTTCCCGGCGGTTTGGCTGTAGAGCCTCTACAACAAACTCTACAACAAAATCGCGCTCTACATCGCTCTACAACGCAGGCACTTCGTCCCGCGGCGGATGTAGAGCTCTACAGCTCTACAGCACTCCAGAGCGCTCTACATCTCTACAACTCTACAGCGCTCTACACTCTACATCCTCTACACCCTCCCTCAGGAGTCATCACACATCACTGTCCTTGCCACTGCGGGACGCGTCCACGAAAGGTGTCCAGACCCCAGTTCCGGCGGACGCAGCGAGCGTCGGGACTCCGTCCCAGCAGACGAAGTCTTCCTCGTGGGCTCCACGGCCCGGATCGCGAGCTCGATCGATACGCGACGCGCTCGGCCTCCGCTGGCGGCTGCCGCAAGAGCGGCTGGCTCACGGCAGCGTCTCGCCGGTTGCCGGATAGGAGAGTACAGAACGTCTGGAGTGTAACTGTGTATGTGAGAGCTAGACAGAGAGAGATCTTCTATTCGTCAATGACGTTGATTGCGCTGACCATGGTGAAGTAGTCGTACCAGCTACCACTCGACGTCGGGCGTGACATTGGCGAGGCCAAAGAAGTCCAAGACAGGCAGGCAGGCAGGGAGGGGACGAACGAATGAACCTACCTACCTCTGATGAGTGAGTGAGCGACCCGGGGGATGCCCCGCGCGCCTGACCCAGGCGCGAAAAACGAATCTGCGAGGCGAGGCCGCTCACGCGGCCCGATGGGGAGGAACGGGGCGAGCCCCCTCCAACCCACCCGCGCTAGGTCTCGGGGGACGAAGGGGTCACACCCGACGACCTCGGGAACTAGCCGGGGCAGTCGGAGAAGTGGCAACTCCGTGCACTGACGGTCGGCCGTCAGAAAACACGCCTCCGTGGCTCGGGTTACACCAATCCTCGCTACCCAACGCGGCCAAAGGATACAGTGGGTTGCGGGCATTAAGAAAACGTCGCATTAAGAAACCCTACCAAGCGATTTCCGCAAAAATCTAAGAAACCACGGGGCGCCGCAGGCGCGGCCCCGAGAAAAGGCCAGACACGAGTGTGAACGGGTCCGGAGCCCCAGCTGCAGCTCAAAATTTCTCTTCGCCTGGCCCTGGGCCTGCGGCAGCGCACTTGTGTCTTGTCACTTTTCAAGTCTGCGGTGTTCTGAGTGGAGTGGTCAGTGGATGGAGGCGTGTGTGCGTCTTCCCCTCATCCAGAGAGCCGACTCGGCGGCAGACTCTTGGCATCGCCCTCGCGGACCGAGCTTTAACACTCTTCTTACCTAAAAATCCTTCGGGCCGGCGCTCTGGCTTGATTGAGAGAGAGATTTTTAAAGACCAACAAGAAATCACGACTCTCACAGTGATTGCCCCGCCCGGAGCTAAGAAACCACGGCGTGGGGTGGATGAGGGCTGTGGAAAGGCTTAGAAACGGCGGCGTGCCGCGGAATCCTGTTTTCTTAATGCCCGCAACCCACTGTATCCACCTCGAGAACCTCGAGAGACGAAAAAAGGGGAAAGAAAAAGGCGGTGACACTCGTGTGAGAGAGAGAGAGAGAGATTTTTCTTCTCGTGTGTCGCCACCTCACCGGAGGTACCATGTTGATGGTTCGATCCTCCCCAGAGTCGAACTGGCAGCCACTCGCACCGAGGAGGCGAGGTGTGGCTACGTGACCCGAAAAGGCCAGAGTCGAGAGCAACCCTCGAGCTGGGTCGCTCATATACTCAACAAAGGGTGAATGTTGAAGATTCTTTGCCCAGCGCTGAGTCAGAAGCAGGCTGACTGTCGTGCCGCAGCAGGTATGATGCGTTCCTCCATTCCTTCGACAGCCGCCACCGCATTCATTCCCGAACGGAAGCCACATCCCGGCGGCTGGCTCTGGGGCGAGATGTTCAAGCTGCGCAACGTCGTTCTTGTTCTGCTCGTGGCACAGACGACGTCGATCGTCCTGCTGATGCGGTACTCTCGGACGGTGGTACGGCCGTTGGATGCAGGTGCGCCTGCCCTCCCGAAGCAGTCACGCCGGGCCCTGCGAGTCACCTGCCTGCGCGTCGCGGCAGCTCCCGTGCTTACCCGCAGGCCCGATGTACCTCGCGAGCGCGGCGGTCTTTCTGGCAGAGGCGGCGAAACTGCCGTGCTGCCTGTACATGGTGGCACGCGTCGGTGGCGGCTGCCGCGGCTTCGTCGAGCTCCTCCAGAGCGAGGTTCTCAACCAGCCTGGCGAGACGCTCAAATGTGCCGTGCCAGCGCTCGCGTACACCGTCCAAGGGAATCTGCTCTTCGCCGCGCTCTCCAACCTCGACCCACCCACTTACCAGATCACGTACCAGACAAAGACGCTTTTCACGGCCGTCTTCTCGAGGATGATGCTGGGCCGCCGCCTCGCCCACTCCCAGTGGCTCGCCCTCTTCCTCCTCTTCCTCGGCACGGTTCTCGTCTCAGACTTGTGCGAGCCACACCCCGGCCGCCCCCGTCCCCTCGCAACGCGCCGCGACACCCCCGCCGTGCCGCGTTCTGCTCCGCGCCGCCACAGCCCCACCGCGGTCCACCTCCTGCACCTCGCTCACGTCCGCAGGAAGGAGGCGCGGCATCGTGCACGGGCAGGCGGTGGCAAGCCGCTCCTCGGCTTTGCAGCGGTGAGCCTGATCTCGGCGGCACCTCGGCGGCACCTCGGCGGCACCTCGGCTGCACCTCGGCTCTCTTCGCTGCACCCCGGCTCTCCGACTGCACGCCGGCTGCTCCTCGGCTGCTGCACCTCGCGCATCGTGGCCGTCGCGGCTGGGGGCCTCATCTCACGGCCGCGCGAGCAGGTGCTCGGCGCCGCGGTCCTCTCCTCCCTCTCTTCGGTCTACTTCGAGCGGATGCTCAAGAAGCCGGCGCGCTCCGCGATGGCAGACCGGGCAGGGCTCTGGCTGCGCAACGTCCAGCTAGGCGCCCAGCCGCGTGCGGGTCCACGACTGCCATGCCCCTCCTCCACGACTGCCATGCCCCTCCTCCACGACTGCCATGCCCCTCCTCCACGACTGCCATGCCCCTCCTCCACGACTGCCATGCCCCTCCTCCACGACTGCCATGCCCCTCCTCCACGACTGCCATGCCCCTCCTCCACGACTGCCATGCCCCTCCTCCACGACTGCCATGCCCCTCCTCCACGACTGCCATGCCCCTCTTCCACGACTGCCATGCCCCTCCTCCACGACTGCCATGCCCCTCCTCCACGACTGCCATGCCCCTCCTCCACGACTGCCATGCCCCTCCTCCACGACTGCCATGCCCCTCCTCCACGACTGCCATGCCCCTCCTCCACGACTGCCATGCCCTCATCGGCGGGTGAGCCCTCACCGACCGCTGTGGCCAGGCACCTTCGCGCTGCCGCTCGCCGGGCTCACCATGGTGTGGAACGACGGGTGAGCTGGCCCCTTCCCGTGCGTCGCCACCCTCCTCTCGCCCTTTCTCTCGCCCTAAGAGCGCCATGCACGATGAGAACAGGGGGAGGGGGGGGGGGGGGGGTCAAGTTTGGAAGTCACGTTCGCTCTTAGGCTGCAGCTGCGCTCCTACGGCCTGCTACACGGTTTCGACGGAGTCGTTTGGCTCGTGGTGCTGCTCAACGGATGCGGCGGGCTGCTCGTCGCCGCGACGATGAAGTACGCCGACAACATCGTCAAGTGCTTCGCCGCTGCCCTCGCGATCATCACCGGCATGCTGTTGTCGGTCCCTCTTTTCAACGTGCCGCTCAGTCCCATCTTTCTCGTCGGCGCAGCCTCGACGGTCAGCGCGACGATGCTCTACTCGCGCGCCCCAGACCTCTCCTGCGCCGCCCCGCCGCCGCGCGATTCGGAGGATGAGGAGGCGGTGCTTATGGAGGCGAACAGCGCGCGCAGCAGTCCACGGTTACTGGAGTCGCCGGCTGACGCTAACGAATTGAGCCGATCGTAGCTAGATCGTCCGCGTCGCGTTTCTTTTTTGCCCGCTCCTCCCCAAAAAAGTATGTGTGTATTATGTCTGTCTCATTGCTCCGCTGTCGCTCCGCCGCCCAGCGCGAACTGTGGCGAGCCAGCAGCAGCGTCGCCGCGGCGTCGCGTCCGTGGCGCGTGCTTGGCTTGCAGCAGGTGGCCATCGGAGGGCTGGACAAGAGCAAGCTCTCCGCGTTGTGGGAGGGTGTGCTCGGCGTGCCAAAAGTTGGAAGCTACGTCTCTGAGAAGGAGAATGTGGACGAGGACATTCTCCGGCTCGGGCAGGGGCCGCTCTCGATCGAGATTGACCTGATGCAGCCGCTTGATCCCAGCCGTGCCCCCAAGGTTCACGTGCCGCCTCTGAACCACATCGGGTTGTGGGTGAGACGCCTAGCGCAGACAGCCACAATAGCCGCACGCCAACGCACGCACGCACGCACGCACGCACGCACGCACGCACGCACGCACGCACGCACGCACGCACGCCGGCAGGTGGACCCAATCGAGGTGGCGGTCGAGAGCCTCACGGCTCAAGGGGTCCGCTTTGCACCTGGCGGCATCCGTAAGGCGCTCGCCATGACTCGACGCATGCCCTGCCTCCGCTGCCACTCAGCCCGGCCGCACCACACAGGGCGCCGCGGGGCACCTGGTCGCGTTCATCCACCCAAAGGGCAGCGAGGCGGCGCCGCTCTGTGGAGAGGGCATCCTGCTCGAGCTTGTGCAGGCGCGATGTGCCCGCACGACTAAGCGAGAATGCGCCGAGAGTGAGCGAAGCCAGGTGGTCTGTGAGGTGCCGCGCCCAGCCAGCGTCGTGCCCACCCGCGTCAGGCGCCGCCGGAGGTCGTGAAGGCTGTCGACGACGCTGCGGCAGGCTAGCTCCTCCGACAATGCTCACGAACACTCGTCTTCAGGCGGAACCTGCAAGCCGAGCGTGGGGCCAGGGCAGAACACTCCTCGGGTGACGACTGACGTGTGTCGTGTGTGCACTGTGTGTGTGTATTTAGGGGACCCGCAACTCTCTTCTTTGTGTGTGCGGGGGGGCAAGACTGCCAAGACACGTGCACGTCAAAGCGGTCTTAACAAATTAAGTATATGGTTATGGCTCCTGTGTCACATCGGTTGTGAACACCGTCAACGTACCGCGCAACGTGCAACGTGCAACGTCCAGCTCGCGTCCCCCCAAAGCCCATCACGTGTCTCGTGTGGTGTGTGGAATGCGGGGTGTTGGGTCGGCCGCTAGCGCTTGCTACGTTTGACTCCGATATCTCTGATGAGTGATGTCTCATCGACCCCGGTATTAAAGGGGAAGGACCCTGAGTTGCACAGGGGTTGTGCGCCAGGCCCTCCTGCTCGGCTCCAGCGAGTAGACAAGTGTTACCATCAACAGAGGAGAAGAATCTGACCTCAGGGCCACCAAGCGCTGGTCTCACAGTGTGCCGGCAGTCGCCGAGCAGTGTCGCTCACACAAGCCGCAGCACAAGTGACTGAGGGCCAGTGAGGGTGAGCCCATCGCAGTGACAGCTGTGGCAGAGCCGCACAGTGGGCTGTGCCAACTCGTGTGCAGAGCGTGTGAGCAGCAGAGGAGCTGCTCTCCAAACCTGGTTTGTGGACCTCCCGCACCTTACCCTTACAGGCCACCATAAGGGACCCCGTTGTCCGTTTGACATCAGACTTTTTTTGAGTTGGAGGTAATAATTAAAAGGATTGCACTGTCCCAAAGAACTGATTCATTCATTTCACCCTCACATAGTAACAATACCTCAAAGTTGAAAACCTCCAAAATAGGCCGTCAGGACTCTGTCAGGACTCCGTCAGGACTCTGTCAGGACTCTGTCAGGACTCCGCCAGGACTCCGCCAGGACAACCACTGCCCCCCCGCTGTGAACAGAGCCCTTAGCTAGAGAGTAGGGAGGGGTGTACAGTCGAGTTACTCCCGAGGGCAGGGACGGCCCTCCACTGAGGGAAAGGGCGCAACGGGGACGGTATGCTCACAACCCAGCCACGCAGCTCTTTGCTCGCGTACAGCCAACGAGTTTGCTGGTCCACAGGCAGGCCAGGCCGTGAGCGTGGGCCGGTCGGGCCTGATCCTGCGGTGAGCACTGGAGGGCTATGCGGCTCGCTCCGTCAGCCGACTTGCGCCGTCGAGCGGTCGAGCGCTTCGGGTTGGACCCGCGGGAGGGTCCCTGCGCGGCTGACATGGCCAGCCAAGCCGTGTGCGCTGCCGTGGGCGCTGTCGTGGGTGCTGCCGTGGGTGCTGCCGTGGGCGCTGCTGTGGGCGCTGCCGTGGGCGCTGCCTCGGTCAGCAGTCGGTCAGCAGTCGGTCAGCAGTCGGTCCGCTGCTCGGCGCTGGCCTGCAGGCCGCCGGTGGCAAATCGGGGGGGCGCGGGCCATGGACGTCGTGGCCGAGCTTTGCTGCCTTCTTGCACGTTGCCGGCTGTAACGTTGCCTGCACCATGGCCGCGCCTCTCTTGCTTGTGCGCTTTCATGGTCGAGCCGAGTGGCGCGAGAGTGAGCGTGATTTCTTTTGTCTGTAAGGACTCTAAGTTTCTGTCAGGACTCTCAAGTTTCTGTCAGGACTCTCAAGTTTGCTTGTCAGGACTCTCAAGTTTGCTTGTCAGGACTCTCAAGTTTGCGTCAGGACTGCCCCATCAGGACGATTCCGCAGAGGGCGCGCACGGTCGAAAGGGGGGCTGGGCGTCTATCATTCACTGCTGGGGGGGAGGGGAAGGAGGGTTGCAGTGAAGGAAGGTGGAGGTCTCGTCGGAGGCACTTGTGAGCACTGTGAAGACCGTGCGCCGTCAGGACCCCGCCAGGACTCTGTCAGGACTCTGTCAGGACTCTGTCAGGACTCTGTCAGGACTCTGTCAGGACTGTCAGGACAGGTGCGGGAGGTCCACAAACCAGGTTTCCAGGCTTCAGTCGCAAAGAGGTGCATGCCACCGAAGGCGCTGTCGACAGTCGAGGTTCGCCCCCGACGGCCGAGCGCGGCGCAGGTTCAGGGAAGCCGCCACGCACCGACGAGCGCGTTGGACTTTTCACTCCGGACAACAAGACGGCCGCACGCACACGAGCTGCGGTCGTGCGGCCGTCATAGCGGCGAGGCGCGGGACCGTCTCAATTTCCGTCAGTATACACTACAGTTAACTGACAGCTCACACGGATGTCGGATCACGGTCCTTTTCGTTTCCCCTTACGTGTGTGTGTAGGTGTCGTGTGTGCAACGTCTCCCCAACGAGAATGGAGAAAGCAAAAACATCCCGTCACCCGTCAGTCAGGGATCAACTATTTTATCCTTGTAAGTTCAGAGAGGACACTATCATCCCGCAGATAGCGTCAACACCAAACGACGAGCCTCGCAACGACAACACGCGCTCCCCCGTCGGGCTGCTGGGTTTACGTCTCTCCTCCCTCGCCACCAAAAGCTCGTGGCTCGCCCCTCCTCGTGCGCTCTCCACTCACCCCTCCGCACTCTCTCTCTCTCTCCTTCTCTCTCTCTCGCGCGCGTGCGCGCCGCGCGGCCGTTGGGAGCCTTCCACCACAAGACAGCCTCACACCAGATGTGGAGCAGAAATACACCGGACCCAGCAACGGGCCGGTGAAGGGCAGCGCTCAGTGGTCGTCGCCGTCTGGGAGGACTGCAAGGCGCGGAGGGTGGGGCGAGGGCGGACCAGGTGAGCAGGCTGCGGCGCGAGTGTCCCAGAGCCGACAGGGTGCAGCGGTGCTCTTGGGCAGGCGGGGTGAGGGTGGGGCAGGGGCAGGGCTGGGCAGGCGGGGTCAGGAGCGGGACGCGGCGACTAATCGGGTGCGTCGCACCGTCATAAAAGATGGGCGGCTCCTCCCACGTGTGCTCCGGCGGCGGCGACTCGACCAGCCACTCGAGCGTCATCTCGACGCGAGGCGCGACGACGGTCGGGGTGACGCCATCCTCTGCGCAGCAGAGAAGGGGACGAGGGGGGGTTGGGGAAGGGGAGGCGGCGGACAGAATGCGAGGCGGCGTGAGAGTTGTGCGAATGAGCGCGGCGTGCACACGCTCCAACCATCTGGCCCCATCCTTCTCTCACCAACCATCTCTCGCCCTTTGCACTGCGCAGCTAGGTAGCAGCGACCTGCAGTCTCAAGCACCTCGGCTTGCTCGTCGAGGTCGTCAATGACGTAAAACCCCTCGCTGCGAGAGGGGGGGCAGAAGCGCGATGTGTCGGACAGTAGGACGGGCGCGGGGGGGATGTGGTGAGGGTGGACAAGGGGGTGAGACAGAGAAGCCGCGCTGCGCTGACGTCCAGGGCAGGGGAGACGCTGCGAGAGCCACCCGCTTGCGTGGGGGGCGCTACGCAGAGACCAATGGCACTGAATCGCGCGTGCTGCAAGGGGACGCGCACCCCCAGAGGCTCTTGTCGTACTCCTGCGCCGCCCGCGTCGCCTTGATGCTCAGGGGCCGCGCCGCCAGCCGCCTCAGAGGGAGAGCGCGGGCGCCTGTGCGGAGAGGCGGGGAAGGGTGGGAGCCGGCCCTGACCGGCAGCCGAGACTCCCGCCCCAGCTCACCAAGAGCGGTTCTCGCGCAACAGCGCAGCATTTCGCCGAGCGAGTTCTGGGTCGGGCGGCCGAGGAAAATAAAATCCGCTGCGCGCCGAGCACGAGGTTCTCGAGGTGGATATCCTTTGATCCTTTGGCCGCGTTGGGTAGCGAGGATTGGTGTGACGCGATCCACGCAGGCGTGTTTTCTGACGGCCGACCGTCAGTGCACGGAGCTGCCCCTTCTCATCTCCGACTGCCCCGGCTAGTTCCTGAGTGAGGTCGTCGGGACGGAGTGACGGCGTGCGCCGACCGGTGCGTGTAGAGAGCATGCTGGCGAGGGAAATAAAAATCAACGCGGTGTCCCGCGCCGGATGTAGAGCTCTACGAACAGCTCTACAGTGCTCTCCAGAGCACTCTATCTACAGTTCTCGCTCTTCGTACAGCGGCGCTCTACACCTCCCGCAGGGAGAGTTGGGGTCTCGAGAGTGTAGGTAGGTGCCCACACTTAGATCTTAGTCTTGGTGTTCACGCCACTCACGCCACCGCCGGACTCGCATGCTGAAGCCTAGATCGGTCGCATCGGTGTCATCGCGCCGTTCGTGCTCACGTGGAACCCGGCTCGCTGTCCTCCTGATCTCACTGTCGCCATTCGGGCGCCTTGAGTGCCTTGATCTTCAAGGTTCCCCATGCCCAGTTCGGGGCGGGGGGGCAAACACCCTGCCCGCCCGCCGGCCCCTAGGACTCCGGGTAAGGCCCAGATGTGGCCTAGGGCATCAGAAGGGACCAAGAGGAGTCCAGTCTGAGCCATAGAGCCCATGTCTTTGCCCCGAAGGTCGCGTTCAAATGCCCGGAACGGCCGTTACAGTGGGTCCACAGACAAGGGCACAAGGCCCTGTTCACGCTTGTTTTGTGTTTTTGTTTGTGAGAGCGATGGGTGGCTATGTTGCTGTACTTCGACAGACAGAGCTCACATGAGATCACAGTGAGAGGAAAGCGAACGAGTACTTACATCGGGTTTTGCGGCAGGCGAGGCCACCCTGTCTGTCCAGAGGCAGAGGTCCTTTTTGCGATCTTTCGATCGAGTCTGATTTTGCCACGGCCACGCGCATCGCTCTCCTCTCGTGCGTCGTGGCTGAAATGTCGAGCTAAACCGCCAGGAACGAGCCCAGCAAGCGAAAACTGTGATTCTGGCCGGTCGTCCGGAACGTCGTCGAGCAAACTCGATGCCATGGAGCTTTCGGGTGGCGCAGGCGTTGCACAAGGCCGGGGCGATCGTGTGTGAGGGGGGAGTGCCGCCTCCGGAACACCGCCTCGCAGAAATGCCTCAGCGCATACGGCATGCAAGACGTCCAAGCAGTACCACGGTTGCCAGCCCTCCTGAGACGCCATGTCATCGAGTTCCAGCTCATCGAGCAGACCTCTCTCTACGAGCTGCTTGCCATCCGAGAGTTGATCGTGCGGCTGCAGCCCACGCAGCTGCGCCTTGCTAGCAAACGCAAAGACGATGATCGTCTTGAGCAGGCGCTCTGAAGGGTCCTCGTGTTGTCTCAGCCAAGTCCGTCCAGATTGCGAGTGCCGCATAGACAATCTGCCCCAGTGGCAACGAGCCTCCCACCATCGCGCATAATGGTGCGAAACACGAGTAGAAACGACAGGAACCCACCAAGCACAGTCACAACAACCTTTGATTCGTCAAGCCACTGCAGCCAGGGAGAGTCCGACGGGATGGCATGCTGCACGATCCACACATTCAGAGCCGCTACGAGACCGACGCCAAGGGTCGAAGCTCCAATGCTCTGGCGTAGCACCTCAAGCACATTGCTCAAGTGGTTACGCCACTCAAGGGTCCGGTCGCTAATCCCGCGCAGCTGCGAAGATGACACGCGTGCGAGGCGGGAGTTCCTAGCGCTGGCGGGTGCTTGAATGCGAACGATGGACGGCATGTGCATTGCACACACACGCAGCAAGAAGAGAAAGCGGATACAACAAGAAGAAACCACCCCCTCTCGTGTTACAAGAAGAAGCTGAGGGCTAACAAGCTGCCGAGCCCAAATCACTGTGAGAGTCGTGATTTCTTGTTGGTTAATAAAAATCTCTCTCTCACACACAGCTCGAGGAATAATTTTCTTTGTTTTACGGCACGGCACCTATACAAACCATACTAACGCTTCCTACCGAGAAGCCCAGGCGGGTACTCCCGACGCAGCTGCTCCATCCATCGCCCCTTCACAGTCCGGTTCACACGCCCAGGTAGGTAGGTAGAAAGGTGACACGCCCCTCGGGCCGAAATCGTACAAAAGAAAACGTCGTGCGCTCCGCCTCATCGGTCTGTGTGCATCCTGCTCGCGCCCGGCCCTGCCCAGCAGACAAACTCGCCTCCTAGGCTGTGTGCTGGCATGACGGCCTTGCAATTTCTTCTCCTTGCGCAAGGAGCGTCCGCATTGCACGTGCTGCGCCTCCCGACGGCGCACTTGAGGTCTGCGGCGGCGGCGATGGGAGAGATCCACCGAGTTCCTGCGCCGGCGCCGGTATCAGACAGTGCGTCGCTTGCGGGCGACATGACGGGCGTAACATACTACGAGGACAAGCTGTGTGTCGAGGAAGAGGAGTGCGAACTACCAGAGGAGGGCGAGTTCACCGTCGCGATCCTTGGGGACCTACACCTCGACCCTCGAAAGATGGAGGACTACGAAACGGGCCGCGGCCACTTCCTCCCCATCATCGAGGACGCGCAGCGCCGCGGCGTGGCGACCGCCCTGGTCAGCCTCGGAGACCTCGGCGAGTCCAAGTCGGTCGACCCGGAGAATACGCAGGAACTGTTCGCAGGCGCGCGGCGCGCCTAGAGACTGAGGGAGTTGGAGGTTATAGTTCGTGTCTGTCTGCTGTTCGCAGGCACGACGGCGTGCCACGAGCTAGCCGCGGGCTACCTCTCCTCCTTCGGGTGCCCGTACGAGGTCATCGGCGGCAACCACGACCTCGAGGGCATCGACGAGTTCTCCACTGACGAGGCACGCGCCACAGTCAATGCCGCAGAGATTCGGGGAGGGAAGGGGTGGAGGGATGGGGGTAGCTCCCCCGGCCCCGCGCTCGCGTGTGGAGGAGTGTCGCGTGCCTGCGCATAGGCCAACCTCGAGGCCTTCTGCCGGATCCACCACAAGCCGACAATGCAGTTTTGCCGGCAGATCGCCGACCGAACCCTGCTCGTCGGCCTAGGCTTGTCGCCGCCCACGCCGCCGCCACCGTCCCCACCGCCCACGCCGCCGCCACCGTCCCCACCGCCCACGCCGCCGCCACCGTCCCCACCGCCCACGCCGCCGCCGCCCTGACCACCGCTTGCGCCCCCGCCGCCCTCGCCTCAGGCTCGACAGTCTTCCGCACGGCAAAGTACACGAGCCACGAGGTGACAGTCGACGACGAGCAGCTCGCCTGGTTCGAGCGGCTGGTGAGCGAGCACCCCTCCGAGGAGGGGTGGAAGGTCTTCGTGTTTACGCACGCGCCGCCGATCGGCTCCGGGCTGAGGGTGCTGCAGGAGAACCACGTCGTCAACGGCTGCTGCTGGCTGAACCACTCTGGCGGCAAGAACGGCGACCCGAGGACGACGACCAAGTTTATCGAGCTCGTCCGACGGCACCGCTGCATCAAGGCGTGGTTCTCGGGCCACTTCCACCTTGGCCAAGACTACCAGGACTCGATCACCTTCCCCACCATCCCGCGCGAGGAGGGGCCGTACCCGAACCGCGGCTCGTGCGTCTTTGCGCAGACCTCCGTGATGCGCGCAGGCACCTCGCGCGACACGCGGCAGCAGAGCCGACTGCTCCGCGGCAACAAGGACGGCTCCGAGATCTGCGCCGCCAGCCACGAGAAGAGGCGCCGAGAGGACCCGAGATTGACCGCAGTAGGACGGTTTCGAGATCTGCACCGTCAACCACGCCGCCGGGGGGACGGTGCGGCTCGACGCGACCATCACCTACACCGACTCGAACCACGAGGTGGGCGTGTACGCGCACGACCACGCCGAGCTCGACCACGACAGCTTCATGAAGGTCTACTCGCCCAGCGAGGGCGACGAGTGCTACGTCGGGTACGACGGCGACGGCGACGGCGTCTCAATCGACCCGACCGACGGCTGCCAGGTGGACGAGGAGACGGTGGCGTGGTGGCACATGAGCGACGGGCGCGTGCTCGGCGTGTACGACGGCCGCCTGATTGAGTACGAGCCATCGACGCTCGCGCCGCTCGGGCTGGTGGTGGGGTACGACGAGCTGCAGGGCAAGAAGGTCGTGGTGGTCGGCTCGGGCGTGCCCGACGAGTGCGTCGCCTCGACAGCGTCCGTCTCGCAGGCGGTGGGGATGGAGGGCGCAGACTGCGCCGAGTTCGAGGGCGAGGAGCAGGCGGTCCTGCTTGTGGACGAGGAGACGGGCGGCATCACGGTGGTGCAGCCCAACGAGGACGGCTCGTACTGGCGCAAGATCGTGCGCAACAAGATGGTGCGGATGAAGGAGAAGCGGCGGGTGCAGGCGGGGCGCGCGTACGCGGAGGCCGCCTTCGACGGGTCGCCCGACGCGTTCGAGGGGCGCGTGGTCTCCTCGTGGGGTCCCTACACCTCGATCGTGGGCACCGCGGTCAAGACGGGCGTCGCAGGCCTCACCACGCAGGCGGAGAACGTGGCCAAGGCCGAGCAGCGGTGGCAGTCCCTCGGCTCGGAGGAGCAGGGCCGCGCGTGGGCGGCGACGGGCAGCCAGCTGGCCGACGCGTTCAACAAGGTCGACGCGGACGGAAACGGCTCCATCTCGCACGCCGAGCTCGCCGCCGCCATCAAGGTCGTCGACCCCGCCTCCACCGCTGAGGAGGTCGCCACGATGGTGGCGGTCGCCGACGAGGACGAGGACGGCGAGGTGACGCTGTCGGAGTTTGTGATGCTCATGCTCTACCAGCGAGGGCCCGCCCTCGCGAAGTGAGTCCGGGTCCCCGCATGTGTCGTCCTTGTCATGCAGAGTGTCTCTCGTACGGTGTGCATGCATGTGTATCATACAAGTCGTCTTGGATTGCGAGTCATGCGGGATCAGCAATCTCTGTCTCTTTTGTCGACTTAACGCGTACCTTTTAAACCCAGATATTGCATATGGGCGCAAACAAACAGCATCAATCAGCAAAATGAAAATCCAAAAACTTCTACACATGTATCGGCGGCCCATAAACTGTCGGCCATACAGCCAAGAGCGCAAGACCCAAGAGCGAGGACAGCTGGCCCCCTGCGCCGCGATATGCGCCAATCAATCATAAGCAGTTGCAGCACGAGCCCCCCCGCTGGTAGGCCTTCCCCAGCGATCCAGAACTTTGCGAGCGGCAGTTGCAGCCCGAAGGCACCTCGGGTCGCAAGTTGCTTGGATTATTCGCAAATCTGCAGTCCTCGCCTGATGACCCGACCCCTCCCGGCGAGCTCGGCGGTGAGGGCGGGAGGCGGCCTCCCGTGATGAGGTTGGTGATCTTGCTCTCCGACAGCCGGCGCGTATTGTCGCAGTTGCAGCCGCAGTCCGGATCGCAGCAGTAGCAATAGGATGGGAGGTTATAGCAAGGCCAGCTTCTGCAATAGCAAGAGTTATCTGAATAGGGGCTCCCACGGCACATATAGTAGCCGCCTCTGCACGTCTCGCAAGTACCCGTCGGCGGCGAGGGGGGCGGCGGAGGTCTTGGAGGGGGAGGCGGCGGCGATGGCGGTGGAGGAGGAAAACTCGGGGGAGAAGGCGGCGGTGGGGATGAGGGCGGGGGGCGTGGCGGCGCGGGCGGATATGGCG